ACAGATAGATATACAGACAGATAGATAGACAGACAGACTGATATATATACAGATAGACAGAGTAGTAGTTAGACAGATAGATAGACAGACAGACAGACAGACAGACAGACAGACAGACAGACAGACAAACAGTAGTTAGACAGATAGATAGAAAGATAGATAGATAGATAAATAGACAGACAGACAGACAGACAGACAGAGAGACAGAGAGACAGACAGACACATACAGACAGACAGACAGACAGATAGTCAGACAGACAGACAGTAGTTAGACAGATACCATTCCTTTTTTCAGACAGACAGACAGACAGACAGACAGATAGATAGATAGATAGATAGATAGATAGATAGATAGATAGATAGATAGATAGATAGATAGATAGATAGATAGATAGATAGACATAAATAGAATAGATTTACAGACAAACAGATAGTTCGACTTTTGTTTATGAAATCCAAATACATAAATAATCACTGGGTTAACTATCCATATATTGTTATAAATTTGAATATATAAATATTAATTATGGACGGACAGCTGAAAAATGTGAAAACTGGAATATGTAGTCATCAGTCAGAATATAAGTGCACTGCATTTATATTCTCTTCGTGCCACACACGCTCACTGTCAAAGAGCCACTCGTGGTGAAGCACCGCTGCACGCCTGTAGAAGCAATGATAGCAGAGAGTGATTGACACCTTATGCTGTGCTCTAGACCCTGGATGCCCTTCTCAGCGCCGAGGCCGAGGGTCTGCCACGGGACATGGTGCAGAGCCCGATTTCATCTCCAATCTTGTTATGGCCTCCTCAGCCGAGTGACCGCTGCACACTCAGATGATTCTCATAGTCTGTCAATGGCAGCTTTAGTGTCGGACCACAAATCTGACACCTGTCGCCAGTAAGCAAAATCTCTGACCTATTGCAATGCATGGCATAGCGTATTACACACTGAAAACTGCACTGAGAGCTTCACTTAAGTTAATAGATTTTAGTAGTGTTTAGTAAGATAAACTTCACTAGTGTTATTGCTCAGACTAAAGTAAGTGCACATCAAAAAAATCATTTTCTTCCTTAGTATTTTTGTCTTTTTTTAATGCATCTAATTATATTAATGTAACAAAATTAAGTGACTTTACGCTTACAACAAGAAAAACAAAAGTCTGCCAGTAGGGTTAGAAAAATAAACCCCTTTTTATTTGACTTCTATTCTTTCCCTTGTTTTAAGCATAAAGTCACTCAATTTTTATAAAAAATATTTTAGAAAACAAAACATATCTGAAATAATTTTGCTTTTCATGTAAATTGATTGAATGTTTAGATATTTGTAATTGAGAATAAGAGAAAAAAGAGAAAAACAATCATTTTATAAATATACATTTGATTTTATTTTGCAGTATACATAACTCATCTATATGATTGATACCTCAAATGATGCTGCTTTTTCGGAAATAATTTACATTTTATTAATTGAATCCTATTTTATTGTATTATTATAATGATTTGTATTAATGTACATGCTTATTTTATGATTATTAATAAACATGTTTATTATTAATTACATATGAATATATTATTGACTTATAATTATTAAAATAATGTTACAAATTAAAAATATTCATTTTTTATTTTATTGCATTTATACATCATTTTTTATAAACTGATTTTTAAAAATCAATTAGGATTTTTGCATGCACTGAAACAAACAAACAAACAAAAAAACTGTAAATAAACAAAGATCATTGCTGATCATTGAGAAGTACATTAGAAAATACAATTTCAGTTTTTCTACTTCAAAATGTCGTAATGCGTTACTATGTGTGTATTGCTTATCTGTTTACTAGCAAATTCAAAAAGTAAATAGTTTTCAGTGTGCCAGGTTAACGAACAAACATAAAAAAAAAAAAGTGCTAAACATTCCTGTTGACTTGCACACGGTAGTGCGTTTTCTATGGGCTGCTCAGTCGTATTTAAGAAAGTGTAAAAGTCTAGTTTTATTAATTTATTTCAAATCCACCAGTCTCAACTCTTTATGACTTTTTAATAAGGCCTAGTGAGGGATCTTTAAGGTCCTTTGACGGGGTTGTCAGAGGATATATGAGTGGAAAAATGTGCTAACGATGGCAATGAGGCTGGACTCGAGCTCTTGGCCCGTCTTCTGTTGGCTGAACGGGGCAGAGCGCCGTATGACTGTCCCGTCCAATATCAACACCTGAAAACTGCCCTCGCTCACAGCCAATAAGTCTCTCTGTAAAAGCCTTACTCAGCACTGTCCGTGACCTAGAGAGCATTATTAAATCTGATTTATAACTCACCCAATAAGCCCAGCCAGCTTTCAATTATCCACTCATGGACCATACAGTAGTCGCCTTTGCTTTTTATATGTTAGTTGAATAATGCAGACAAGATTATTAATTTCTCGGTGAATTTCATTTTTCTTTATAATACCCCAGTGTATTTTAATCTCTTAAATTGAACATTTGCTTGATGGATTTCATATAAATATTTATCAAAGTGTATTACATGGCACAGTTGTTTGAGAAACTCAAACTGAGATCCATAAACTGCGATCAGTCATTAAATATAAATGAATATTGTTTGTGCAGCGGCAACGCATATGCCGAACAATTCATCATGTGGATAACTACTTAAACATGGTGTATTAAACGTTAATGTTTTGCAAATGATTCCTAACTATCGTTTAGCATGCGTCCCAATGCATGTCCGCAACTTTAAATCTGCTTTACACTGTCAGATATTAATAATGCGTTACTGATTTGAGACTTTTGTTTGTAACTCAAGTTGTACATCAAGCAAATCAAATCACATGCAGTCCCTTGTATTTGTAAAGTATTTGAATCACTATGTTGACAGAAATTGACATAATAATGTCAAATATTTCAAACTTTTAGTGGTTGGATTTGAATCTGCCCAAAGCTTGGAAATCCACCATGCTTAAAGCTTCAATGCGGATATCTGATATCATTTCATAAGTGAAAGAAAATTTAATATTTAATGAAAGGATCATTTCAGAATTTGAAAACCCTTTATAACATTTTTTTACAAGATGAAGACTCTCCCCCTGTAATTGATTAATATAACTAAAAGGATTGGAAAGACTGTTATGCTGTAGTCATAATATCTTATGCACAGAATACAAATTCTGACAAAAAACGGCTTCGGATTTTCCATCAGGTGAAACCAAATAATAATAATAACAATTTGTAAAAAAAAATATTTATTTAAATACTGTATATATTTGATGGGGTTGTCAGAAATATAATGTTTTTTATTATTATTTCTAAGTATAATATGTTATGCTTTTGAAAAGACTAAAAATAAATATTATTACAAATGATTATTATTTACATTCATATTATGTATGTGGGTCAAAGACGAAAAAGGATTTAAGAATAAAAACAATACTGCTTTAAATTGTTGTTGTTTTTCCAAACAAACAAAAAAAAAACGTTTTCTGTTTCATGTAATTGTATTTTTGTTTTTGTTTTTCTGAGCAAAAAAATAAATATCATACATTTCCCCCTGATTTACAGAAGAGACCCACTAAAATGTAATTCAGTGTAACAATCTTGTCAGGCATATTTACAACAAAAATCAATTCATGACATATTAAAAAACGAATTACTTTCACTCCAAATACTAATTTGTTGTTATTATAAATTTTTTTACATTTGCCACTATCCTAGGTTTTGCCCATTTGTCAGTACGAATTTTTTTACTAATT